GCTGATCATTGTGCTGTTTTCTTAAGTGCTGACTCCAGTAAGCCTTTTCGGAAGGCAATTAATGCTTTGGAAAGCAGCCATCAGCTGTCTGAAAAAAAAAGGGTTCTTACCAAGCTGTTTATGCATGACAAGGGGGGACTCAGTTATAACACAGATTAAAGAGGACACTTGTTTAAAGTGAGTCTACTAAGGATGTATACATTGTATGATAAATATATTGACAAAGCTGTCCTGCAGGAAAGATATTCAGTAAATTGGATTATCTACATTCTAAAAAGATTATCCACTTAAAGGCCTCTGGAGATTTGCTGGTTGAATAAAAAGAGAGGGAAGATCTAGGCTGCAGTCTAGCTAAATATTTTTTTAGTTCTTTTTCTGCATTTAATTAAAAGAACACACTCTCCTGCTCATAATCACTGTTCTGTGCCACTGTGCAATCAGTGCCTTGTGCCACCTGTAGATTTACTTCAATATGTAATGATTTGTCAAAGATGCTTTCTGCTTCATCTCATGCTGCTCAGTTGACACCAGTGAAAATTGAGCTCTGAACACTTTAGAATTACTGGAAAGATCAGAACTAACCCAAGGCATTGAGGAGTTTTTTTCACATACATATAGTGAAAACCCTGCTAACCAGTGTGGAATTTTGATATGTAAGTTGCCATTGGGAGCAGTGTTTGAATAGCATATGTTCAAGTACTGTCACCTTTCATTGCTGCACCATGAGGACTAAGATGTTCTTGGAACAGTACTGTAGAAAGGAAAGCTTCTTATGTCTTCTCCTGTCATGCAATAGCCACACACTACTTGGCAGCAGTTTCCTTCTTCATTTACCTACTAAAGGAAATGCATGCCATAATTTGTATTTAAAAGTGGCTTGTAAAAAAGAATTGCGTGAATTTTTAGCATAAGACTCATTTAAAATTAAAGGCAGCTTTCAACTAAAATCCTGTATAACTCCAGTAATTTAGAAAGTGTATTTTAAAATATTGTAAGGAGGCAGTTACGTGTTCTTCTCCTATTGCTTCTAATTTTTTTGTCTAAATCCTTTCACAAAGTGTAAGTACAGAAGTACTCTAAATAATAAGGGCCTTGTATAATCCACCTGCTTCATAATCATGCTTTCTATTTAACTATATGTAATAGTTTTTCAAAGGCATTTTTGTAGAGCTTTCTTGGTCACATGTGACAGCTGTTATTTTTAAGCTAATGCAATGTCAGACCACTCTGACTCCTGAGATGAAACAGTCATGACATTTCAGCAACTTTCCCAAACTGACTTCTTGAATATTCACTATAGTACCTTATTTTTTTCCTGCATATAAGGCATTGCTCTTTGTTATGAGACCGATCAAAGTTGGCTTTTCAGCATCTGGGAATACCCAGATACCATCTCAGGGAGCTCAGAGCAGTACTTATGCAAGTGAATGACTATTTTATGGACCTATGTGTAACCCTGAGTTCCCAAATGTAGGATTTGGTTGTCACATGGAGGCTTTCAGTTTCAGTTCTGATTATGAAACCTGAAAGACTACGACTCTCCTGAAATAATCTAGGTTCATAAAAAACATCAGATGAATGATGTTACATTTGTCCAGCCTCAACTTTTCATGACAATTCAACTTTTCATCACAATTCAACTATTTAGAAATGATTCTGTTAAAAACAAAAAAAAAACACATCTAGTAATAAAAGAATATTATTTTGTCTAAGTGCCAGAATAAAAAATACCTTCCATATACTATTAATATGTTCCTTAAGGAACCAATATTCTCAGTGAAAGGTTACCTTTTCTACCATCTCATGTATTAAAAATGAAAATATATAATTAAACTTTCAAGAACCCAAATTTTCTCTTTTTTAAGTAAAAATGTGACTTCTTGGTGTCTGGGAAAAACTCCCAGGTGGCCAGAACCCAGCCTGGTCTGGATTGTCCCACCTGCACTCAGCCTTCCTTCCAGCCATCAGCAGTCACCAGCCCCTGCTGCTGTATGGCAATATGTTTGTCCTGCCCTTGCTATTGCTCTGGATAACAAAATGTGCTTAAAATAGACATGGTACAGCTTTGTGGAAACCTGTGACCCTGTCCTCACCAGCTTTGGGCACTGGGCTGTCCTTCACAGTCAGTATTTCTGGGATGGTGTTTCATGGACAGGAACCACAATGCAGAAGACAGTGATGCTCAATGCATTGTGAGAGAGGAGGTAGTTAAATACAGAGGCTCAGGTCCATTTCCAGTTACACAAACTGCTGAAATGTTCCCATGTGTTTGGCTCCTCACTATTAGAAGTGCTGGGGAATAAAGCATCCTAATTCTCTCCTAATTTCATGAGCGAATTTCCTGTGGAATTAATGTATCCTAGATTAAAGTAGAAGGTTAAAATTGTGGTGAGTTGATAATATTGTCTAAAAACAGCTACTGTGAAAATAATTAGCTTGTGTCAGTGCAGTTGAATTTAGAATATGGCTGAGAAATTAATATGAACCATTTCCTGAGATGATCAAGAGGGGCTGTGTAACTATCCAAGGTAGGGTTTCTCATTATTTTGGAATAAAACAGGGAAGGGCAGAATTCAACATGTACTTTGGAGGAAAACCTTTATAAATTACAATGTCAAGTTTCCTATTGGCAAACCCCACTTTCATGGCTAAACTCTGACTCTTGTGGATGCCAATGTTCTTTATTCTTTGTTAATTATCACTTCTTTCCTGGGACAAAGTGAATAATCTTCATCTGTTCTTCATCTGTTCTGTCCTTCTTAGGTTAATATCAAACACTGGCCTACGGGTTTTATATTAACCTAAGAAGGACAGAACAGATGTTTTGCTGTAAGTTTTAACATTTACTTCTCACTTTTTAAAAGCTGCCATTGAATGTTCTTCTGCTCCAACAAAACCTTTCAAGAAATGATTCCCCTCATGTTCATTTATTAGCTTCACGGTAGAATTTTGGGTTGTAATTTTGCAGGCATTGATCATAATGTGGCCCGAAAGGTCTCAGTTCTCTCTAGGTCTCCCTTCTACAAAGCTTTATAACTTGTACTTTACAGACAGCTCTTCCTTTAACTAAACTGTGAGCATGTGTCTGGATGGCCCAGGGGACAGATAACAGCCTTCTTCTCCTCTTTCATGAGTTGAAATCCAAACCATGATGGTGGCAGTGGAAATTTGTTGCCACCTGGTGACAGTTCTCTGGTCTGCATGAGAAGACTTGCTGATCTCAGAGCTGTGTTCCATGACAGGTGACCATGTCACAGGGGAAAGAAAAAAAAAGAGAAAAACAAACAAACAAACTCAGGGAATAATCTCTATCATGCCCTTTTTTTATCTCTGGCAGTAAAACTATCCAGAGAATGAAATTTTTTTATATGGAAAATTCCAGTGCCAGCAGTGCAAAAAAAATTGTGAAATATTTTGTGTGAAAACAGGCTATTTTTCTGTTAAAGCACCTTTTCTTCTGTAAAAATAATGAGTGTCAGAAAAAGTTTGAATTTTTTTTTTCACTGAAAATAATTTTGACATATGTTTTTCAATCAGTTCTTAGTATAATTGAAAGCATTCTTTTGGACATGATTTATTGTTAATTCACAAGCAAAGTTCTGCATCTTCAGATCTTTGATTAGAAGATTTCAAGCTGCAGAAACATCAGTCCTGCAATCATCTCAGTAATAGCGAGTAATATGAATAAAATTGCATATAAAACATAGTGGGGAATGCCCAAATATAGTATACACACATATAAGACAAGAAATCCACTTCTGTAATACACTTGACATATATAATTTTGAGAACTTCAGAGCTCCTTGAAACCATCAAGCAAATGCAGCAGATACAAGGCTACAGAGCCTTCTTCCTGTATACTTTTGTTTATCACCAGTATTAACTAGAGTGAAATTATTGTGTCCCGCAGAGTTTTGGGGTTTTTTCTCCTCTGTTTCCTGTAAGAATAAGTAGACATTGATACTGCTTGAATCCCAAACTAGACCTTGGTTCCAACTCTGGGCCCACTGAGGTCAGTAAGCAAATACCCATTGGCTTCAATTGTGCCAATATTTAAGTCCCAAAGACAGGTCTTGATGGGACATTGATGTTTCTAAAGGGCTCATGCAGATCCTTAGCAGAGAGATACAGTTCACTTGTGTGGATGCTGTGCTCCCTCCCTTTTCCTGTCTCTGCTGACCTCAGTTTGCAGAATGAAGCCTCTAAGTGTCACTTAATGAAGAGTTGTGGCTCTATCAAACTGTCAGCACGAGATAATTTTGGAACCGTGCTTAATTTCAAGCTTTGTGGATATTTCATTCAATTCCATGCTTTCTCTCAGAAACAGCATGGAAACAGCCATATCCCCAGTGTAACTTATGAGTAGTACTATTTGACTTCTTTGAGCTCTATTTTGAGCCAGCAACAGAACATAGATCTGCCATTCCTTGAGTAGTACTATTTGACTTCTTTGAGCCCTATTTTGAGCCAGCAACAGAACCTAGATCTGCCATTCCTTTTTTTTGGATCAGTCACAACTGTCCAAAGACAGAAATTCCTATTTGCCCATTCAACAAACTGCATTGACAGGGTCCTATGTCGGAAGTTCTTAAACTCATACAAAGCTTATAAGCAACCCTGTTGACATCAGCAGAGGAATGATCCATTGGCTGGTAGGTACCCTGCTGAATCATGCCAAAAAGGCTAATGGCTTTTCCTTCCTCTGGTTTGGAGGCTGTGAGAAGGGGTGGCCTTGTAGCCACCCAAATTGCATTTTCTGGATAGTATGCTTGCTGGAGGAACTATTTCATCTGTCTCAGGGTTACAGTCCTGAACTTAAGCATTTTAATTACTTCAGCCTATTTCAGACAAGAGTGTGGGGGTGTTGGAAATGTTTTTGTCCAGGCTTTTTTTATCAAGGTTTGTGCTCTACAGAAGAGACATCTTAGAAACTTACATCATTACCCTCTTCCTCAGAACAAGTATAAGGGAAAATACTGTATTTGAAACAACATTTTGTATTGAAAGGCATTTTTGTATTTTGAAGTACAAAAAGGTGTTTCTGTGGTATTTTATTTTTCAGAGATATTCAAGACAATATCAATATACGTGCAATCGAAAGAAATTCATTCATGGGCCTGAGTTCTGAAAGTGTTATTCTGTGAGTAAGACATAGCAAATTCATTATTCTCCTTGTTAGTTCCTTTCTTTTCCAGAACAGGGTCAAGGATACCAGGGGATGGGCACTATTTCATATGCTTCGTAATTCAATTTGAGGTTTTAGATTTTTTCCCTGCCTCTGAAATCTCTGTATTCTATATCCCTGTCATGAAAAATGAATGCTTTGGGGTTTATTTGTTGTGTTCTCATCCTGGTCTTTATTTTAGAAGCACAGCAGAGAACAAATTTAATAATTACTGATACCAAGGTTAAAACACCTACAGCAACTTTTTCATGTGATACAAATTGTGTTCAAAAGGATGGCATGACTCATAAATATTTACAGTCAGACACATCATTCAAAGACATTTATTACCTGGGCAAAATATATGTAGATGTTGTGGAAATGTGGTATAATTGTAAACAATGTTAATGCATTGATACAGGTGGGTTCACAATGCAGTTTCAAGCTGTATGGTTAGATGGTTCTACATTTGACTCGAACGGTCATGTATTTTAATGAACTAGCTGGCTTCCTTGATCCTTTCTGTCTGTATATAAAACATACTGTTTGCTTGCTAACAAGCTGCCTTCGTTTCACCTAGCTGGTGGCCAGACTGGAAAAATTTCCCACCATGTGTGTGCAGTTTACTTCGCGTACTGAAGGAGACAAGCAAGATTTGATTGACTGATTGAGCTCACGTTGATTTTGGTGGGAGCAAGGTCAGACTATCAATAATTGAAGAGAGGCCAGTCACTTAGCTTTATCTCTCTTTTCCCCCTATCAGTTAAGCACAACCTCTGTCTACTTCAAGTTCCCTGAAATTTTAAGCACAAACACACACAGAGAGTTTTCTCAAATACATATTCAAGTAATGATACCACAAGACCACTGATTTATCTTTTCTCCTGTGATGATAATATTTGCTGCTCAGGTGGGACTTTGTATTTTCAGAGCACTGTGCAAGAATTACTGTATTTGTTTCCATAATGCTACTAAGGACTGAGATATATATTTCAGATTTTTGCTGTGATTTGACCTCTCTGTGCCACTTGAGCAGCATGAGATTGACTTCCCCTCTGTCCCCAGCATATCTCATTGCTTATATCAGGAAGAAATTCTTTACTGTGAGGGTGGTGAGGCAGTGGAACAGGTTCGCAGAGAAGTTGTGGATGTCCCATCCCTGGAAGTGCTCAAGGCCAGGTTGGATGGAGCATTGAGCAACTTGGTCTACTGGAATGTGTCCCTGTCCACAGCACGTCTACTGGAAGGTGTCCCTGTCCACAGCACAAGTGTTGGAACCAGGTGATCTTTAAGGTCCTTCTGATCCAAACCATTCATTGATTCTATGATATGATTATTGTCTGGGTATTGAAGGGCAGTCCTCTGTGAGGACTTAAGGCTTCTGATTTGCTAGCAATATTGGCCTGGTGGGGGAGGAGTGGATCATGTCCCCTTCCAGCTTCTTTGCCCTACCTCCCACAACAGCCCCATTGCTATAGGCTCCTCGCACCCACCAACATGTGCAGGAACAGCAAGAGCTGTGCAAGCAGACCTGACTACCACCAGATGATGGTCAGATGATACCCAGACTTGGTTGTAGTTCTCTCTTGGGACACAGGCCTCACGTGTGATCTGTGAGAGACCCTGATTAGGCTTTCCCTAAGGTGAACTTAGTTCAAAAAACAGCCAAATTTGCTGGTTTTCTATATCAAACTGAAGTCATGGCAATGCAATAGAAATTTATGGTTATGGCAACATCGTTTTGTAAAACCAGGCATGTCGAGATGTTTAAAATTACCCAGGACCCATTGAACCCCCACATTCTAGGGAGAAACAATTTTAACAGGTTTAACTGCGGCAATGTCCAAGACTATTCAAGTCAGTAATTTGGATTGCATCTGATTTTATGCTATGCGTGGGATCAACACAGATGGGAACTGAGGCTACATTTGGTAATAAAGTACTGGAAATTCATGGAAGAAATTCACCTTGCTACCAGGTCTGCATGCCACTTAGGCTCTAAGATCGATCTTTCCTGTCCTGAAATAGGGAGTAAAGAATACTTCAGGGACAGTGACCTCTTGCATCAAGTGAATTTTAAAGTGGGTTTTAAAAATCTGGTATAGCCATGAAATGGTAAGTAAAAGCACCTATGTCCAAGCTCTGGATCTCTGCCTCCATTATCAGCTGTTGCTAATGTGAGAGTTAATGGAGTCAGTAGGGATGCTGGTTGAAGCGAGGGGAGAATTTGTCTTAACAGAAACTTGTCCATATGTACATTAATGAGGTCTTGGGATTTGGATTTGCTTTTTTCTTTTTCTCTCTTTTTATTACTCAAGTGCTATTAGCCCAGTGATAGGAGTGTATGATCCACACTGTATGGCAGCAGTGACTCTGTTTTATGACCTTAGTATCTCATTGCATTAGCACCGTGTTCAGTGAGAGAATGCAGTAAATGTTAATACTGTGATTAAAAACATATATATCAGCCTGACAGCTACAAATGGATAAGATCAATGTAATATAATAAATGTTTTAAATGCTGTAAGCAGGGACATGTCTCTCCTCTGTGCCCGCTCACTCATGTATAATAGTGTTTGCAAGTGAAGGGGACAGTGACAGTTCTTCTGATCCAATCTGACAGACATTATAGACACAGAGCTATGTACATCTGCCTGTCATGGTCAAAAGAATAATCCCTTCAGCCAGACCCATAACTGATTTTTGTGGTTACCTTAGCTCACCACCTCAGACCTTAGATAAGTGGGTCACTTGCATGCTCAGCTTTCAAAGTGAATTAGAAACAAAATGTCCAGGTTTGCTGACAGTTTAATTAAATCAGGCCATTTGTGCCATCAATCAGACCTGTCATTGCCTGTTGAAGAGGGCGGGAGCTGAAAAGTGACGTTTAAAACAAGATGAAAGATTGCACCATAAAGATGATAAATATAACTGACCCAAATGTAAATTTGTAGAACCGTGAAGGGACAGAGGGAAGGACGTTAAACGTTAATTAGGTAATGCACTAGAGTAAAATCTTGGCAAAAAGCCCCAGGAGCTTCAATTTCCAGGTTCACTACCTGTGTATCCTCTTGGGGGAAGGAGTCTGGGGAGGTGGGACTGAGGCAGCAAAGCAGACAGGCAGTGTAATTTGTCAAGGCAGCAGACACAGGAGGTATCACCCACTTCCCGGGCAGTTTGGCACCACTGCCACCCTCCTCCTGCCTGGCTCAGTGATGGTCAGCCTCCCTCCTCCACCTGCTTGACTGCAGATGTGAGACCACTGCAGACAGCAGTCTTTTTTCTCTAGTACCTGGCAAAGATTAAGCCATGGCCCAGTGTTTCAAAAGCATCTTGAACAGAGTAAAACTAACTGGCACTGACAGCACGAACAGGAAAGATCCTGGTCTCACCCCTCTTGGGATTAACCTGGAGCAGCCTCACTGGCTCCTCTGCAGCCTTCCCAGTGGAGCTGTGGGCAGTGCCAGCATCTTCACCAGCTCTGCCCTTACATAAAAAACTTACTCTAGCTGTCATCTCTGATGGTAGTGCTCATCTGCCCTATTCATGTCCACACTCTCCAAAGCCTTTGTCCAACTATTGGGATCATAACAGACAGTATTCACAGAAATGTCACCATTCCAATATCCATTTAAGAATTTTATTTGTTTGAGATCCTTTTCACTGCTTTGAATTACATATATTTTACTCATGAAGCATGAATAAGAGTGCAACTCTATTTTTCTTTTCTCTATTGCAGCTGGCTGAATAAAAATGGAATTCAGGAAATTGAGAATCATGCATTTAATGGAACGTACCTGGATGAGCTGTAACTATTTCTGTTGTTTACTATTACGAGAAGTGAACATTAGAAAATAGTAACTGATGCAAGATTTTATTTGTTTTTAATCTTAGATTGTTTCAGCATAAATATTGTGTTTTTCAGAAATCTAAGTGATAATTACAACCTAGAAAAATTACCAAATGAGGTCTTCCATGGAGCCAGTGGGCCTGTTGTTTTGTAAGTAATATTTGGATAGTATTTTTCTTATCATTGACTCCTTAGAAAAGATCAGAGAAGAACATATGAATGTCAGTCTGGATTTCCACAAACATGGAGGATATAACTGAAATTTCAGTCTAGATCCTTATTTTCACTTTGTCCTCAAGTTTTTGGGAGTATTTAGAGCGAGAGAGACAGATCCAGTTTGAGCTAAATCAAGAGTAGGTGAATGGTCCTCAGTGTTTAAATCTGAATTACTTGCCACTGAAGATCTGCCCTGTATCTGTGGAGCTTAGTTCTGAAGAAAAACTCCTATCTTACAAAGACTGGGGTTGGGATGTCCCATCTCCTGTAGAGATGGGTATGAGATATATTTCACACAATTAGATCAAGATGTCTTTAGTGGATGATGAACTGCAAATTGAGATCTCAGCAGTAGAGAATACAGCAGAAGTATGCTTATGGGCCTCAGTCACTGTTACCTCAAGCCATGGTTTGCCATGGAGTCTGAAAATACCTGTGAGTGCACAACTGCTTGCATTTCTGAGCACAAGCTATAACACGTGGGAGTCTTCTATTGTCTCACTAATTTCTCACAACTTTTCTCTCTTTCCCATCTATGCTGAATGTCCAGAGAGGGCTAAAAGTTACCCAAAAAGGGTGAAAGGGGTCATTGGAGCTGTTGCAAGATTTAACGCAGACTTTAGAGTGGTTAGAAATCTAAAACAGAGGGAAAAAATTCTGATTAACCTTGAGTTCTGTCCAGAGCTGTTCTGAAGGCCTTTTTTCCCACATTGTGATGGCCAGTAGACCTATGATATAAAAAGCTATGGTATGGATTACAGCATTCTGCTCCACTTTTATTGCTTCTTCAAAGCATCTTCCTTCTTTGGAAAAGACTTCCAGTGGAGCCTCTTTTCATCATTAATGTCATAGGTGTTTCTTTGGAAAATCATTATTTCCTGTATCTAAAAGTAAATGCATTTTCTTTGCAAGCTATAGCTGATACAATCATGTTCTGGAGGTTTATCAAATTGATTTGCCTCTAGTTGAGATTCATTTGATAGTTCAATTTCTAACTGAGTTATTTGTGTAAAAAGTTTTCTGTTCCGTTACCAATACATCCACTATTCCATCGATGGGAAATTACCTTTTTATCCTGGATGAGATCATAAAAGAAGAGCCTTCTTACTCATCCATCACTGTAGTGTACAGCAGGGATGTGTTTTCACTTGTGGAAGTGATTGACCCATAATCATATCTTTGATGGGACAAATAGTGTTGCAGCAATCAAATCTGTGTTGCAGACAGCAGTGTTTTATTCGAATGAACGTCAGGGTGTTTTAACTCTTGACCTTCCTGAACCAGTGTTCTACAGTCAATTAATGCCAACTTCTATTTTATAATTTAGCATATTAAAATAATGTAAAATAAACACAAACACAAAGAATCAGAAAGCATCAATCTTAGCCCTTGTACAGGCTATAGCGTTTCACAAATCAGTTCCTCTCTCCTTACAGCTCTTTGTGGAATTAGAATATGTCTTTTGGAAAGACATCAAGTTTTGAGTTAATGGATTTCAGCACTGACAGTAGACAAGAAAATCGAATAGCTAATAAATCCCATGCCTATACATATTATATTCCTTCTATAGAGAAATACACTGTGTTTCCAACTTGGAGTTTCATAGCTTCAATTTTCAGCCATATTGTTTCATTTAATTGTCTTCTGCTGCTCTCAGAGCTGTAGTGCCTTACACCAGCTTTTGCTGGTGTCCTTAGGACTTCTCTGGCTGTGTCTTGACTCAATGCAGGTAAGGTATGGCTGTGGTCCATTCTGTCCTTGCAATTTGTCCTCAACAGGAAACCCACATGTGGGGACCACAGGAGAGCTCCAGTAGATCCTCAGCTCTACATCTGAGCCCCTTAAGTGCAGCCAGAGTTTAGTTTAGATACAAGCACAGATAAAATTTTTCTCACTCATCAGTCTATCCCTCTCTGATTTCTGCTCTGGCAGCTATTTCTCACCATTTCTATATGAGCCTTTCAAATCTCATCAGCTGGTCAGTATTTTTGCTAATCCAACAGAGACTCCCAGTGGGAAAGGGAAGTGATTGGAAAAAAAGTCAGATTCATTTTGTTGTTCCTGCACTGGCTGCTGTCAAGGCTGATGACTAGCAGCCAAGCAATAATAACACAAGAACACATATACCAGTCGCTGATGCCTTCTGGTTTGATTTCCTCCTGCCATTTTATCGTCTTGTTCATCATGCTTATTTAATTTATCAAGCCTCTAACTAGAAAGCAATATCCCAAAGAACTTCTGCACTGAGGTCTGTGTGTGGCAACTCAGTGCAGTAAGTTACTAAACCACCTACACAATGTCTGTGTTTGCTGTTTGTGGCCTTGTCAGTGGTGTGAAAATAACTATCCCTCACACAGGAGTATGCAAAGCACTTTCCATAACTCACTTTTCTTTATGTGTAATAATGAGCATAAAAAGAAAAAACCCTAAATAACAGGAAATTTTTTTGACAAAACCCATAAATATTTATGACATCTTTTTGAGATACTGAGAGATCCAGTAACATTTTAGCTATTTTTAAGTCTAGGTGGTATTGCTGTTCATATTTGCTTCTTATTTCCACCCGGTGTTATACCAGTTTTCACTCAGTAATGAATTTTTGCTAACAAGCCAAAGAAAACATTTTCCATTCTCTTGTTCAAAATTATGAAGTTTCACATGCTCTTAATGATGCCATGAGTGATGCTGTCTGTGGGTTTAGGCAGAAAATTGCTGTTTAGTTGTTGACTCATGAGCATATACTCTGGGTGACAGTTTTCATTTGGCAGTGCACTAAGGGCAATAGTCAGCCCATGTGAAAATCGAGGTTGCTCATTTCAACCCAATTACCTCTTCAAGTGTCCAAGTCAGAAATCAATAGCCTAAAATTTCTCATTGGCTGCTGTTTTTAGCTCCTGTGAGAAACAGATCCATCCCCGAGCATTCTCAGGACCCGGTGTGGCTTCTCTCAGTCTGGCCTGCAGAAGTTCGTAGCACTTCTAAATCCATTGGTCTGTCTTTCCTTCCAGAACTCATGACCCCAGGTCAGACCAATGGGATGGGGTCTGTGTTTGCTTCTCTGCTGCCACAGTTCATGGTCCAGTTGTTGAAGGTGATACATTCCTTCAGAGCCTGGATGTAAAACCTCAGCTGTGGGCACCGCATGGACACACAGATCATGTCTACCCACCACTGATTTTACTAATCGCTTTATCAGTTGTCTGTGAATTTGTTAGCCATGGCTGCCCTAAGCTAAAGACCATGAGTTCAAACAGGGCCCTTTGCTGGTATTTTGTTTTTTAAACTGGGGAACAGAGGTGCAAATGTGTGTATTGTACGTAGCAACTGTCCAAACTTTATTGTGTGCTGCTAAAACCTGTTTTCCCCCTCACACAGCCCCTCTCTACTGCATTACTATGATAATAAAAACAATTAGTGCATATTGGGTAATAGAGATCAAATAGCATGTTGTCCTGACATCATACTGTAACAGATGAAATGGAAACTGTACCTTGGAGGGAACATGGAGAAAAGTACAAATATTGTCAGTCCAATTCCTTGATGAAGGAAAAATCCTTTCTTTTCTTGGGGAATAAAGAGCAGAGCATCTTCAGTCTCAAGCCATAGGAGCACAGGGTTAAGGGAGGACAGGGTGATTTTGTGCAGTTCATTTTTATCTTTGCTCTTAGGAGAAAGGAGTGTGCTCTCACAATGTCATGATCTGTAAGAAACAGTTTATCAGTTTGTGCCCCAGTAAGGGAAATGTGGGGACATTTTGCCCCAACTGTTCCATCCTGGAGCTGTGGGGACAGATTCCCAAGTATTTCTTAGCCTGGAGATGGAGCACCTTTAGTCCTTCTTTGCTTTCCCCACCTGCATGGCACAAGTCAAGATCTAGTGTTTGCAGAATGTGTTTCCTTTTAAATGCCCCTCTAATGATCTCTTTAATACATTCATGGTTGCTGCTTCCATCGCTGCCTCTGATTGCCTGTCCCACGCAGTAAATGCCTTCCATACAAATACATCTCTCCTAACCTCCTGTAATCTTGCACCTTCCTTTGCTTCAGTCTCTGCTCTGTTTTTTCAACCTCTATGAATGCTTTGATTTTTTTTTTTGTTCCTCACAGTCTGAATGATGTCACCCCAGTCTCTCTAATCTCCTTTTCTCCCTAATAAGTACAAAACCCGATATCCCCAACGTCTCTTCACATCTGTACTCTCATGTGAGCTTCTTTGTGTTTATTGTCTTTTCCTCAGCAGCCTTCCCATGGTGTAAAGCTGATGTAGTATACTTCTTTCGTGATTTCATCAGCCTTTTTTATCCTGTAGCAGTATTCTGGGATGATTGTTGCATTTACCCAGTATCACATGGTGCTAATGGTTTACATCCCTGCTAATTCTTACCCAGAGCATTAGGCGATAATTTTTTGTTTTTTCTCACAGACTAGCATCGCTCGATCATTGTTTGCAATGGATATTAGTTTGGTTTGCTGGAGGAACACCTAATTTATCCCTGGGTCCTCTTTTTGCTGTAGATTTCCAGCTGATCTCTTTCCAATCACTAGTCTGAGAATAAGTAGGACAGTCTAAAACACATATCCACTGTCGAACAGAAGTAAATTTGATTTTTATTGAGATTTTCATATGTTTTCTTAAAGGGATATTTCAAGCACGAAAATTAGTTTCCTGCCAAGTCATGGATTAGAACTCATTAAGAAGCTAAGAGCAAGGTCTACATACAACTTAAAAAAGCTTCCTGATTTAAGCAAGTTTAGATCTTTGATTGAGGCAAACTTCACCTATCCTAGCCATTGCTGTGCATTTACAAACTGGAAAAGACAAAAGTAAGTGATTTAATTTGGGTTTAGGGGTATTTTTTTTGGTGCTTTTCAGAAGTTTATAATGAATTAAATACAATTCCTTAAAATCTGGATACAAAAGGTCTCTTCTGTGCAGGTAAGTAAGTGGATATAAATAAACAAATGCACAATACATACAGGTTTACACATGCTACGCAGTGCACTGCCTCTCCATTACAGGGAATTCTTGCATTTTGATAGCTGTGTTAGCATCAGCACTTTCCCAAGCCACAGCTCTGTCCCAACCTGTCAGAGGTTCATCTTTCACTAGGACCTGCTATCTTGAATCATCCTGGAGCCACACTGAAGACATTAAACAGAAAATGTTTGGTAACTTTACAGGATATAGTTGGAGGGAAAGCTGTGTTTGCAAAGAAGCTGCTCCATATTTGTCCATGAATTTAGGAGGGTAAAAGGACCACTGAGTGATTCCAAACTCTTCTCTCAGGAGGTCTCACTGATATTGGAACACTGTCCAGCCAAGCATCACAGGTACATTATCTATGGAGTTGACAACACAATAGTTTTGGACATGATTTCTGAAATGCTTGGCCTAGAGCAAGCAGTTACATTTTGCCCAAATCAACAGAGGGGGGTGGGAGGGGAGGGTGTCCTTTTAGACTCCAAAAGTAATTTTCCATGCTTGTTGTAATTTTCCATTAGTGCGTTGCAGTGAGACTTCAGGTATCAATGATTCTCGTTGAGTGTTTTCAGCTGCTCAGACAGTTTTGAAATGTACATGCTAAGTAGTCAAGGAACCTCCTGAATTTGTGCCACTGGAAAACATGAGGAACACCCCTGTCAGTGTCTGAAGTTCTCCTTTCACTGGATGTCCTGAAAGACTTGGACTTTGCCATGGCAGATATAAACTTATCGATCATTGTTATAATTTAAGACATCATCTTCAGAAGTTGCATAAAACTGCAAAGAAAAGCAAACCATGCAGAGAAAGCACAAATTGTTAGTGGCTTCTGTTTTAATACTTATAATAGCCATTTATTTTACTTTTATCTTTGTATTGTCACTAGACAATGGAAGATAACTGAGTTTGCTTGTGCTGATAGCTAGTATCACCTACATGTGTTTGCAAAACTCTGTGTAAAGACTGCAAGTGTGATGGTGGAGACTGCCGTGATAAGGGAAGTATCTGTCAGAATCCATCCCCCATTGCCTATTTTTGATCTAAAATGCTAAATTTTTCACTGGAACAGTTTATCAACAGAATACATTTTCACATATTTGTGCAGTCTTATGCAGGCAGAGTGCTTGGTAGCTTCTAAGTAGAAATGGGCCTAGTACTTCCACCACTGGTGCAAAGTGGTATATTCTAACGAGTCAAATGAAATCACGTTTAGTCCTGAATCTGCAAAGGAGCATTGACATCACTATGATTCATATTTTTTAAGGTACTTGGCTTCTGGGCTGCTTGGGCCTAATCAGGACCCAAATCCCAGAATCCACCCCTTAGATTAGGCAACTGGACATTTCTAAAACAAAGACCTGCTATTGAAGGAAAGCTGCAGGAGGAAATGCTTCTGACCTTGTGATAATCTCTCTGTATCTAGTTCCCCTTACTTGGACTTTAAATACTTTCTACATCACACTCTCACCCCAGGGAATTTAAGCCCACAGCAGTCACTTCTCCCTTAATATATCCCCTCTTCGTGAAGCCTAGCCCAGGCAGGCAATAATCATAGAATTTTAGGGGTGGGAATGGCCCTTACAGACCATCTAGTCACACCCCCCCCTGCCATGGGCAGGGACACCTCCCCACTACACTGTGTTTCTCAAGGTTTCATCTAGCCTGGCTTTGAACACTGCCAGAGTTAGGGCATCCACAACTTCCCTGGGCAATCTGTGCCAGTGTCACACCATCCTCACAGTAAAAAACTTTTTCCTAATATCTAGCATAAATTTCCCTGCCTTCAACTTGAACCCGTTGCCCCTTGTCCTATCACTGAAATTCCCAACAAAGAGTCCCTCTCTGGCTCCCTTGTAGGCTTTGCTATAAGGTCTCCATGCAATCTTCTCTTTCCAGGCTGAATAGCCCCAACTTCCTCAGCCTGTCCTCATAGAAAAGATGCTCCAGTTCTCTCATCAACTTCGGGCCTTCTCTGGACTTGCTCCAACAGTTCCATGTCCTTCTTATGCTGAGGGCACCAGAACTGCACACAGTATTCCAGGTGTGGTCTCACGAGAGCAGAGAGGAAGAATCACCTCCTTTTCACCTGCCGGCCACAGTCTTTGTGATTCAGCCCAAGCTTCGATTGGCTTTCTGCACTATTAGTGCACACTGCCAGCTCATTGTGAGTTTCTCATCCACCATCATGCCCAAGTCTTTCTCCTCATTGCTGGTCTCAATTACTTCCCCACCCAACCTGTAGGTGTGCCTGGGATTGCCCTGACCCAGATGTAGGACCTTGCACTTCATTTTGTTGAACTCCATGAGGTTTGCATTGTTCCACCTCTCAAGCCTGTCAAGGTCCCTCTGGATGGCACATCCCTTCCCTCCAGCCTGTCAACTACACCACACAGCTTGGTGTTGTCAGTGAACTTGCTGAGGGTGCACTCAATCCCACTGTCCATGTCACCACCAAAGATGTTGAACAGTATTGGCCCCAACACCAGCCCCTGAGGGACACTACTTACCACTGGCCTTCACGTGAACAATGAGCCACTGGCCACAACTATCTGCATGTGACTGTCCAGCCAGTTCTTTATCCATCAAGTGGTCTCCTCATAAAATCCATGTGTCTCCAATTTAGAAACAAGGATGTCATGCGGGACAGTGTCAAACACCTTGCATAACTCCAGGTAGATGACATCAGTTGCTCTACCCCATCCACAAATTCTGTTGCCCCATCATAGAAGGCCACCAAATTTGTCAGGTATGACTTGCCCCTGGTAAAACCATGTTGGTTATTACTGATCACCTCCTAGCTTTTCATGTGCCTAAGCACATGGAGAATCTGCTCCATGATCTTGCATGGCACGGACGTGACACTGACTGATCGGCAGTTTCCTGATTCCTCCATTTTCCTCTTTTGAAAAATTGGGGTTATATTTCACTTTATCCAGTCATCAGGGACTTCACCTGACTGCCACGATTTCTCAAAAATTATAGATAGTGGCTTAGCAACTTCATTGGCCAGTTCCCTCAGAACCCGAGGATGAATCTCATCAAGACCCGTGAATTTATGTACACTCAGGTTCCTTAGATGGTCTTGAACCCAATCCTCTTTTGCAGAGAGCTGAGGGGTTTCATTCTCACAGTCTCCCTCTTTGCCTTTCTTGGCCTGGTCAGTGTGGCTGGAGCACTTGGACTTGAAGACTGAGGAAAAGAAGTCATTTAGAACTTCAGCCTTTCATTATCCAAGGTAACCATGACTGTTTCCTTCTAGAGAGAGCCCACATTGTCCCTAGCCTTCCTTTTGCATGCAGCATACCTGTAGAAGCCTTTCTTGTTATCCTTAATATCCCTGGCTAGCCTCAATTCCAACTGTGTCTTAGACTCCCTGACCATGTCTCTACCTTCTCAAACAATTTCTCTGTATTTCTCCCAGGCCATTTGTCCTCCCTTCCACCTCCCAAAGGCCTCTTTTGTTTTCCCTGAGTTTCCTCAGCACTTCCTTATTCATCCACAGAAGCCTTCTGGCATTTTTGCCTAATTTCTTCTGTGTCTGGATGCATTGCTCATGCAAGCCAAGAAGAACATAAAACAGCCCTTTACAGAGCCTGGGTAAGTGTAATTTTGCAAAAGAAATGCCAACAAACCGGTGCAGAGCTCAAACAACCCAAGTGTGGATGGCTGGCAAGCTAGGCTGGAGCACCACGTGGTGATGGGGCTGCTTCTGGAGCAAGTCTGGTCACAACTTCACAGTCACCTATAGTATCAAATGTGATGTAATGATAAGAAATAGTAAGCAAGTTGGAGATGCTCTTCATGACCACCCTGGTCAACAGAACAAAATGGAATGTATCTACTAAATATTAAGGATAAATACAAAAATTATTAGAATCAACTATTTAGATCAGCCCTTTCTGTTAGATGCTTTGTAACATAATTAAAAATGATGATTTCTTTCATAGACTTGTGTCTTGTACTAAAATCATTGGAAAACTGACATCCTCTCTCCCTTATGGGAGAAAATGGATGCATGCATTTGGTTTAAATACCAAAGGTATTACCATACACTTCAGCTGGGATTAGTCACATGTACAGTAGCTACACCTGCTTTCATTTCAAAGCAGTTTTTGTGACAGCTGGCACAAGCTGCATGTGCATTGAAGGCTGCTCAGGCTGTTTGAAAGTTATTAATAGTTTGCATAGTGCTTGATCACACAACATGTAATATTTCTTTGGCAAGAGCTGTCCTTGGTTCAGTGCAACAGGCATTACTTGCGGTGGTGGTAATTGTTATGTGACCTGACTTGCCATGCATGCACCTTCACAGGAGATGGCCATTCTTCTGTTGCCATTTGGCTCTCAAAATGCTTCCAGGTAGTCCAGGGAGTATAAAAAGGATGCCTCATCACCCCCAGAAGTGCATTCTAAGGATCACAGCAGTAACTGGTGTTCACATGGGAACTCTGGGAAGGAATTAAGACGGGGCGGGGGGTGGATGGCTACCTGTTTATGTTAGATTTTTTCCTCTTTTTCAGCACTCAAAACCTTAGATAAAAAAAGTTGCCATAGTGGATCATGCTCAGTCACCTCTCCCAACTCTGTCTGCGCAGGCGAAGGAGTGCTGTTGTGATAATGGAAAGCTTAAACCCATTACAGCGACAGTGCTTTCTAAATTTTGGAGGATGTCATACCAAGCACAGCCCTGCCAGTCTGAGACACAAATTAAAACAGAAGACAATTCTGATGTTTTTCCCATTCCAATAAGGATTATATGTTAAATATTGATCTGTAGATTGAACAGGCTGGAATATTGTGATGCTGGCCTAACAGAATATAAGCTTCATTCTTAAGAGAAGTCCAGTACCGAATGTTGAACTTCCCTCATGTTTTTCTGTGACTGGAAAATAATATCTGTGAAGTGTGGATAGGGCAGAGTCTGGATGTTAAAACCCTCAACTTGACATAGACCATTATGAACTTCAGCAAGTTTTTGGCTTTCTTTGACATAAAGATCACCTTCTGCCTAAAAGAATGACGTTGATATGACTCTGTCCTTACAGTTGATCGTTATTCTTTGGAGGAGCTGTCACTTGAAATCCTACTTTTTCAAAAAGTGTGGCAACAGTGGGAGTCATGTTTGGGCCTTGTCTCATGAGAACATACTATCAGTTGCTCACAACTCACTCGATGTCACTTTTTGGTGATGATGATTTGTTTGAGATAGGGCTTAATACAGAACATAGGTCAGGACTATTTATTCCGCTGAGCATGTTTCTCAGCACACAAGATCCTGCTGTCACCAGATCCAGGCGAAGTGCATGAAATAACAACTTGTACAAAGGTAGCAATTTTGTTTATTTTTGTCAGAGCACTCTGTCAATTTCAATTTTATTCTCTATGTTGTTCTTTCTCTAGTTTATTTTTCTAGTTTACTTGAACAAAGTAATGTTAAAAAGTAACAGAAGGTTACAAAGAGAGCAAATAAATTAACTGTATTATGATACCCATGGTCTCAAAAGCAAGGACCCATCCCTCAGCCAACAGTGTTTTAACTTGTTGCTCTGAATGCACTGCACAGCCCAAAGGATAAACATCACAGGGCAAAGATGTAGTAAGGAGTCACTATCAGAGAATGTCTCTTCCTTCCCTTGAGAGTTTGCAACTGCCCACCTTTCCTGCTCACAATACAGGTAACCATCTGAAGCACTCCTTGTCACCCTTCCTCTGAGCAAACACAGCAGCCAACTCTGTGGGACTCTGGTTTTATTTGGGACCACTGGTTGTAAAATAATGCAAGAATTAATAAATTGCAATAATCAGAAATATTTAATTGGCTTTACGTAGCAGTCTTGTCATGGAATAGATTTAGGTCCTCTGTGCCTCTGTAATTTGGGAAAAGGTTTATTTTTAACTGATGCTGAGAAATAATTGGATACAAATATTTCCCTCCATTTCATTTACAAAACACCACCAATTGCAGTAACTTTCAGTGCTCCCGAGTGCCTGTTGCACTAAAAAATGAGGGACTTTCTCTTCTGTTATTGCTCCTTGGAAGCCTATATCCCCTTTCAGCTACAGAACTGTTGATATATTGATCAATACACTGGACCCCTCACTCATCCTTATGCGAGTAGAACACAGGGGAGCAAAATGTAATGCCTTGTTATTGCTATTGTGACCTTCATAGTGCATATTTGACCTCACAGAAAATCAGTTTTCTGCCTCAGTTGACAGGCAAGATAAAAAATATTGATAATAGTAGAGGATGTTCAGAACCTCATAGGAAATGTCCCTCACCTTCTTGTCCTGGGCCTTCATTAGTTTTCCTTTCTTGCAGGCCTTTTAAACTCAATTTTTGGAAGATGTAGTGAGTGCACAAAGTCAAAGGGTAAAATTAGGTTACAAAGAAGAATTCTCCCTTTTAAGCTGCTACCAGCTGTACAACATTTTCAACCTAACTTGCCTAGAGAGTTCTTCTTTCAACTGTACTGAAAGTCAGGGTGGAAAATGACCTGGGGTTCTGTCCTAGAAATTACACACCTAAATTGCAGTCTGGTTGTAGCTGAATGTAGGCAGAACCGAACCATGTTGGTTGTGCTACACATTGTCAACTGGTTTATTCCATAACTCAGATTAGCTCCACATCTAAAACTAGGGATGAAAGTTTATGGGACAGCAAACTTGTAAGGCAGCTCAGGAGAAGCTGTTGTAAAGTTTAACCCTTCATTTCCTTTTTATACACCTTGATATTTCTAACCTTCATGAAGCTGATCATATTTCTATAATCTCAGTCAAATGCTTGCTTCTTCTGTAGGTCTAGGCATGGAGAAGGGCATAGAGCTAATACCCTATGAAATAAAGCCAAACACAAAACTATCAGAAATATTAGCTTTGCCTTCGAAGGCATTTTCCTTCTTGCAACTCTTTTCCTGTATTTGCATGTGCTACTAAAACTTCTCAAAATGTTTAAAAATACATTCTGACAGAAACAAAAGCAACTGCTGTTTCCATAAAAACATTGATTTGGTTTGGTTTGGTTTGGTTTGGCATGGCTTGGCTTGGTTTTGCTTTACTTCACTTGGTTTCTAATCCATTTTCTTTGAATAACAGTTTTTTAAGCAAAATATCTACTGTGTCTTGTGTTTATGTTGACATCTGGCTTCTAGTGATTATCTGAAAGCCTTCATGAACTTATTTATTCTAATTACTTGTGTTCCTGGCCAGTAACCAATATGATATGAGATACTTAAGATGTATGGCACAAACTGGAGTTGTTCCATGCCCTGACAGAGTTACAAAACTATGCCACAGTGATGGTCAAAACCTTCAGTAGAAAGGGAATTTGAGAACAATACTAAGGGATAGTGGCATTATTGTGGTTATACAGACTTCTTATGAGCAGAGCTGAATTCACTCATTCTTTAAAACTCAGTCTTACATCAGTATTCATTGTCACATATTTCCCTCAAGCACAAATCAGCTTATCAATGACAGGTTATGTGAGAAATTCAGTTCAAATAAGGGAGACTTCTTACAGAGTGTATTATCCAGGTGGATAACAGCATCATGAGTGTTAGTGAGGCAGATGTTAGGCTTTTCCTTACATTTTATGATGTTTCGAAATAATTTGCATGTTCTTGTAATATTTTATAAATAAGGACCAGCAAAACTATTAATTTCAAACTCCAGGGTAGTCTTTATAATCAGCTAACCAGAAAAACTGATCTGTTAATGGAAAATGAATTATTTGGTGTTCGTTGTGTGCCTCATACTGTGTCTCTTAGCTTAAAACTCTGCTCTTTTTACAATTTCAGCACCGAATTATATCCAATATGCAGCATATCTCAGGCCAAGCAAGACCTTGATGAGCAGCCTGGCAAAACGATAGAGAGACAATCTGCAGCTGAAGATTATATTCCCAACTATGGCACAGGATTTGATCCAACAGAGAACGAATTTGACTATGGATTATGCAATGAAGTAGTTAACGTAGCTTGCTCACCTAAACCCGATGCTTTCAATCCGTGTGAAGATATCATGGGATACAACATTCTGAGAGTTCTGATATGGTTTATCAGCATTTTAGCTATCACCGGGAACATTGTTGTCCTCATTATTTTAATAAGCAGTCAATACAAACTCACTGTACCTCGCTTTCTAATGTGCAATCTTGCATTTGCAGACCTCTGCATAGGTATCTATCTGTTGTTTATTGCATCTGTAGATATCCAGACCAAAAGCCAGTATTACAACTATGCCATAGATTGGCAAACTGGGGCAGGATGCAATGCTGCAGGATTTTTCACAGTGTTTGCAAGCGAACTCTCAGTCTACACACTGACCGTGATCACTCTGGAAAGGTGGCACACCATCACCTACGCCATGCAACTGGACCGCAAGGTTCGATTGCATCATGCTGTAATTATCATGATTTTTGGCTGGATGTTTGCTTTTGTAGTAGCACTTCTCCCCATATTTGGAATCAGCAGCTACATGAAAGTCAGCATCTGTTTGCCCATGGATATAGAAACACCATTTTCTCAGGCTTATGTTATATTTCTTCTAGTTTTGAATGTACTCGCATTTGTAATTATATGCGTCTGCTACATCTGCATCTACTTTACTGTAAGAAACCCTAACGTCATCTCTTCCAACAGTGACACCAAGATTGCCAAGCGCATGGCCATACTGATCTTCACAGACTTCCTCTGTATGGCACCAATATCTTTTTTTGCAATATCAGCCTCACTCAAGGTTCCGCTCATCACAGTGTCCAAATCCAAGATCCTTCTGGTTTTGTTTTACCCCATCAACTCTTGTGCCAACCCTTTCCTCTATGCCATTTTCACAAAGACATTCCGCAGGGATTTCTTCATTTTGCTGAGCAAGTTTGGTTGCTGTGAAATGCAAGCACAGATTTACAGAACAGAGACCTCCTCATCTGCTCATAATTTCCACACAAGAAATGGCCATTGCCCTCCTGTATCAAAAACCAGCGATGGCACTATTTATTCATTGGTTCCTCTGAATCGCTTGAACTGAAGTACTTATATGAATTTGTGTCTGAGGCAGTGTGATAATCACTTTCAGCTGTGAATTTGAATAATGACTTCAACATAGCATGTAAACTTATGTTTTATGAAGAAAAATATTATTTCCAGTTTGCTATTTTTGTTCAGTGAACAGCCATCAGAGATGACACATCATCTTCATCAGCTCTTGAAGAACAAAGTGCCAAAGTGTTCTTGTATAATTGTCTCCAGAAATAAATGAGATCATAAACTGGTATCTCCCACCATGCAGGCAGAGATTTCCTTCATTCTAGGAAGAAGTTAGCTGCTTCTTGAGAATTAAGTAATGGTTATATACCGTTGAAAGAAAAAAATGTAGAATTAATTTCTTTTTCTGTGAAGCATGTTATAACAATGACAGATAATTAGCATGTTTCATTAGTCCTATCTCCTGGGCATACAGGATAGAAGCCAATTTAAGCCCTCCTTCAGCACAGACTTCATAGGAATGGGAATATCTTGTATTGTTTCCATTTCTGTTGACCACTGCAGAGAGGCAGGAGACCTCTCCAGCTATCCCGATGTTTGCTGTTCCACACTTGCATGGACCTGCCTTATTCTGCACAGAAGTATCACTTTGGGTGGTATTTGTGTTGATTTAGATAGTCAGGCTCAGAGAAGCCTATTTCATCTGAGTTTGTATCAAGAAGTTGGTTTGGTTTGGGGTTTGTTTTCAAGGTAAGAGAAAGCAAGAACAAGGGCAGGAGAAACTCCTCATAATAAGGGGGATGTTCTCCCAAGCTGTTCTCATGAAGCTGGATTGAAATCACTTTTGTGTGTCTGGACCCTTTGAAAATGGCAAGATGAGCCAACGGGGTGCTCTAACTTGATATATGAGGCAGGTTTGCCATACAGCAGTATTAGTGCAATACACTGCCTGGACTGTGTAAAGGACAACGGATCCAGATATGGCTTTTGAAACCCTCAACGAAAATTTATGTGAAATCCTACGTTTTTTTGTAAAATCCTTTTAAGGTTTCCCCTTCCTTTCTAAAAAAAACCAAAAATCCTTTGTGTGTACATTATCAGATGATGCATATCTTGAAATAACAGAAAAAGCAAAGCAAAAAAAAAAACCACAAAAACTCACCTTTTAATCAAGATTTTCTGATTTTACACGTTTTTTTCTAACAACATCTCAATGAATGTACAGACTTTTACATGATTTGACTATCAAAATTTTTGAGGGTTAATCATTCCAAATTTCAATAAAGATTTAGGGATGGGTAGAGTTTTCTCATGCAGGCTTTGTGTTTATGTGTGGGTATGTAGAGATAAAGAAAACACCAGGAGACGAGTCTGGGCTTCATTCCCACCTCACAAACAATTCACAGTTCTGCCCCATGAGATTATAAATCTTTGGAGTCTTCATGGTTAAATGTGATGTGCTTTGAGTATTTCTTACCTCTAACTCATAAAATTTCAGTAGATCTTCTTGGATGCTTCTATCCATAATTTCCCCTGTCATCAGCTTCACGTTTCTGCATCTGAACCTGATGTGAATAACTACAGAAGGTGATTATTCATTCAGTCCTAGCCAGGGAAGGAACTATCAGCTCCCTAGTGCATAAAACAGGGGAGATCAAAGATAGTGTGTTTGGGGGGGGAAATTTCATTACTCAACACAAGTAACACTCCCTCCAAGATCCAGGAGAAAGAAGAATGAAAGAGAAAAGCAGAAAAGACAGTTCAGGTCTAGGAACATCATCTGACTACTCCCAGGAATCATTTTTTTTTCACAAATGCTTAATTTCATATACAGTGTACTAGTATACAGCCATTAAACCCCATCCTGATGGAAGTGACTGAATGATGATGTTTCAAAATGACTAATACTCTAGCTACATTTTTAAAAAGGCTCCTAAGTCTATTCTTGGCCCAAAAATAAGGGGTGTTCTTTGGCAAATACTAGCCCATTTTTCTTGATTAGTAGGGATAATTCTTGTAGTGTGTCATGTCATGCTTTTTTGCCTGGGCTCTGTCCATTTGCCAAGGATGAGAACTGGCAGCTCAGAAAAGTGCAGGCATACTAATCTAGAAGCCAGTCTTGTAAATCCTCTCACAGACACATCAGGCACATGATACAGCTCATCTACGTTGTGTGAACCTGTTGGCCAGACATTTGCAGAATCTGAACCCAGTTAAACATGCTTTATAAATTAACATTCCTGAAAAGACACTTTTGCAGGATTGTGGCCCAAAGGATGAAGCCATCTACCCCGTAGCTCTTCCTCCACAGGAGACAAGACTTGAGACTTGAAGAGCAACTAGAACCTGCATAATTGGACACCTTGCCTTGTCTCTAGCAGGAGGACATGTCATCCTGTCCTCACATGCTGCTCAGGAACTCTGGTGGCAGCTCGGGCTGTGGAAGCAGCTCCAAAGCCAGGAGTTTGACTGTATGGTTGTCAAGACAAAAACCTTCTTCTAGTCCTTAATCCTCCTTGGCTTTACCTATTCTTTAGATTTTAATTTTAATAATCTTCATAATTATAAGGGACATTGTGGGACCTGTGTCTTTCCCTGTGTGGGACACTGGTCTGTTTAAAGCAATTTTTTAAGCAGTGTTTTGAAATTTAAGAAAGTAGTATAAGAAAAAAATGCAAGATACATTTTGTTCATGTTTGTAATGTACAAAAGGCCTGCTGGTGCCTGGTGTGGATTTTCTCAGCACTGAACAATGTTTATATTGTAATCTTTAAACTATTTTACATTTCCCTTTCTGAAATCTATTTTAATAAAACCAGTATCAAAACAAAGTGCCTTGAGAACAAGTGTACGGACAGAGATATGCTGACAAAGTATGCAATAAATTTTACTGCTTATCTGGAGAGCTCCATTTATGCAGCACAGCCTCCACAGTCAGGTCTCTGTGACCTAATGGATGAAGCTTGGCTGATGAGAGACTCTGCAAAGAAAAACCTCCTGTAGCCTCCTGGAGAGTTAACAAAGCACAGAAAGGGATGTTTGAAACCTCTCAAACAAATAGACTGACCTGTCTTTGTTTCAACAAACCACTTCTATTAATTCACATTTCTTATGAAATAAGATATTTACCATTGACAAAACTTGGACAGGCATTTTTCTCCTTTTTAGTATTTATAAAAGGCTCTTCTTATGTGATACATTCTAATTTTCTTACCCTCCTTTTTTATGACCAGGGCTTGAAATTCTGTTTTGTTGAATAGTCTGCTCAGGCAAATAAGAGTGTGTCTGTGTGTGCAGAGTTGTCCACACGTGTAGGAGAGACAGGCCAAAGATAACAAGGAAACTGAGTCAAAGCCTAGCTCTGATTCACAGGAAAAACTTTTATTCTGTCTTGCAGCCCACTGCTAGCTTGCTCCAAAGACCACCTGACAGTGGACAATACTGTAGTAACTTCTAGTTTTCTTCCCTGCCCTTATGTAGCCATCCAGTGCATTTTAGTCTTCACCAAGCCCCCCAAAATGCCCAGTTAAAGGGTCATTACTGTCTTTGCCCTTGTGGTGCCAGCATTGGAGTGAAACAAAGAGACTGTGCTGGCAGTGGGAACATGATAAGAAACTTTGTCTGTTTGATATAAGTATCATTTCTTCAGGCATGTACCTTGTGGAGAATCCAAGCCTGACCTCCCCAAGAAACACACATCTGGTGTTGTGATGGGAAATGAGAAATGGGGCTACTTCAGCTTGCTGGACTAAAGGCAGCATCACAAAAATTGTCACCATGGGTAAAAGCAATAGGAGCAGCTGGTCAAAAGCATCAATAAAAGCAAAAACCTGAGTCAGTAGAGAAAATGAACCATGATCCATTTTCTTTACAACTTTGCTCTGGGGGTTGCACAGATATGCCAAGCAGAGTTTTCTCATTAGAAGGCAGGTCTACATTTGAGCTCGTTAAGAATGCAAGATGAGATTTGCATCCCATTTAGCAAGCCTTCAAATCATTTGACCACATTTCTTTCCTGTAGATTCCCTCCTAATCATTCCACTGAGGACACAGCAGATAATCTTACATTTAATTTATGCAGCTTTGTTGTTAAGAAGAGTTAATAATGTGAAATGATTTATCCTCAAGGAATAATTTAACCATCCCTCCCCCTCCCAGAATGAAAGAACAGAAAAGAAAGGTGGGTCTGGTTCAAACGGTCAAGTAAGCACATAGAAACCTCCTCACAGATTTGCATCTTTAATATGGGCATATGCAATCTCCCATTGTGTATGCAAATGTGAATTGCATGTACACACTCTTCTTCAGTGAGAGTTTTTGTCTAATTACTTGGTTACAAGCACATATTTGAAAATCTGGGTCTTGTTGCTTTAAAATATTCAAGCGCAGGAGTAGGATTTTATAGCTGTCATCTGGATAATTAAACTCTTCATTAACAGTTGTTCTCAAACCAGTAGGTGACCTTTAATTAGGGATGAAAGTACTCAGGAATGGATTTCAAGCATTAAGAAACTGCAGAGGAACCTTTTGCCCCCTACTCCTCCTAATCCATTGAAAACCTTTTGTAAAGCATTGGTTTTCCAAGAGAAATGATGCTGAGTGAGACAAAAGTATGTTTCCAGGCCCAACACATCAGATGTATGCTTCGCTTAACCTTGTTGTAACTAAAATACTATATAGTTTCTTTTTTCTGTCTCATGTAAACTTTGCCATGTGTTACCTGGGTCTTTGTTATCCCAGCCTGGACACCTGCATCAAGTTGTACCCCCCACCAAAATAGAATGGGAAAAATTATCAAGTTTACAGTGATGGTTACAATGGGAACATCCTGTATTTATGAGTAGGTGGAAGATTGCAGGACAGGATTCTGTAATATGGAAATTTCTGTTGCGTCATCTGAATATTCAGTGCTAAAATTCTGCATTAAAAGGGCTATTTTGACTGAATCATAGTTCCCAGGAAAAAAAAGCAATAGAAATTTGCATGTGAAAATCCTGTGGAGAGATAAAGGAAGTTCAATTCAGGATTTTTGATTTTATTGTA